TAAACTTGCTTTAAATCTGTTAAAAATAATTTGACGTTTCGTATTGAGAACTTCCTTAGACAGGAGAAAAACCGTAAATTTTGACAGTGTCGAAGAATAAAAACAATTAAATGATAAATCATCACATTTTTATAGTACTTTATCACTCATCAATTAGTTTTTTCAAAAAATAAATAGTTTAAGCAAAAAACGTTTGGTTCCATACTTTTTATTCACCTGGTATGTACAACCAAACTGGGAAATTCTCGCAAAGTTTGTATACTTCTCTATTTACGTTTAAATTTTGTTTAAATAACTAAAACTAAGTAATAACACGATTTGTAACAAAAATCTGTTCTAAAATTGCCTGTAAAGTAACTTAAGTAAGCGAAATATGTTGTAAAGGAATAAAGTAATCCGTAAAGTAGTACATTTTCGGACTCATATTTTATTAATTAAAATCGGCGTTAAAGTTGACAACATAGTACGTAAAGTACGGTGTGTAATGTTATTATAGTTGCTTAGTTTTTCAAATTTTTACATAATTTACATTTTGAAAATATATTTCGGCTTAGTCACTTATAATAAAGACCCTAACCGATTTTCAGATACAATCCAAAATACCTTCTCAGACACTATGCGTTAATTGATATACATGGTTATTCACGAGAGGGTTATTTAACTGTCAAATTTAACTGATGACATATCAACAACTACTTTGATTTAAATTTAATCAACATTTCTCAAACACAACAAAAGCCGAGTTATCAGTAAAAATGTATTTTGGGTTGCGTCTGAAAATCGGTTAAGTGTCTTTTTTATAAAAAAAAAACTCGCCCTATATAATTATAAACACGTTATTTTTTTATTATAAAACATACTTTATTACAAGGAGTGTTTTGTTTTTTTTTTAAATAAGACCACAATATTTTTCGCATGGATGTAATTAGGTATATAAAATTAAAAACCATCAGTTGTGTCTACTACATGACGTTCATAAAGAAATACGAACATTTTACCCATGTTGATGATAACAAGGGTATACCTAATGACAAAAACACATGTACACATATAAACTTTTTTTGTTATTTAATATCCAATTTGCTGTTTCATTAAAACTGCTACTCCAATTAATTATTTCTACAAAAGTATTTTCTACGATTCCATTCATCTAAGTGGCTTCACGTTTTTCTATTAATACATAAAGCAGGTCTTTTACTGAAGATATGTCTAACACCTACTCATTTACTCTTTTGTTGACTATTTCGAACCGCGTTGCTATCCGCCGGGTGTTCTAACTTACAATTACGTTCTCTAAACGCGATGATTACGGTGTTGAGCTTCTAAAAGACCGGATTTTTTGCTTTCGTGCTGTCTTTCCGTTGAAACGTTTCCTGTGTTTATTAGTGACCATATTAGCGATAGTTGTATCATCCCATCAGCAGGCAGCGTCGCTGACGTTCCATTACCAGTGGCGGACTCACCCCGAGTTCCCTTGGGAAGTGCGACCTTCTCACTACCGCCGTAATCGTAAATCTTCCAATAATTCATTAAGCTCCTGCAATTACTCGACATTGCACGCCACTCGCTTGCCTCGACTTATGTCTGTGACATTCTCGCCCTGCTATAGCGACCCCGTAATGGCCGTGATAGTCAGTCAGGACAAATATTTGACACGTGTGCTATCCACAAATTCCCGCAATTCCCCTCAAAAATCAAATTAAGGCCGACAAGATGAGAATTGATCAAAAATTCAAACATTAGCAAGGTTTGTGATGCGGGTTTTTGCTTACTGCGTGTTGTTTTTAGATTAATTAAATTTAAAAGCAGCAGTTTCGGGTTTGTAACGTATGTGGCGTTCTGGTGGAGGAGTGGAAATGGCGAAATGCTTTTTGCCAACAACATGCGTCTGTTTACATTGGAAATTATGACGTTTGAAGAAATTAATATAGGTAGTTACTAGATATGAAAGCTGAAAATGAAGCTTCCACTAATGTAAGAGTTTTGCGTGCTCTCAAGCTTACCATTCTGTAATAAATTTAACTAATATTTATTCTGATGAAACGCAAAATTAATTTCATTTAAATTAACAAACAAAGTGCCAAAAACATTACTAGGTGGGTTCTGCATCTAAAATTTGATATGCTTTCAGCAAATTATCAGATCACATGGGAAAGGTGATTTTTTATTGAAATAACGCTTAAAAAAATAGATGAATCAAAAATTAATTAAATAACTAACTAACGTTAAGTTAAACTAAAATTATTTAAACTTCAACAATTAAACTACAATTTAATGATTGTCAAAAGAAACAAAAAGTGAATTCCGTGCGGATCAGTTCTTTAGCTTAGATAAGCTTTTCTTACATTCGGAGGCAACCATTAATACCTAGTATTGCCTCCTCGAGCCTGGAAAGAAGCTCAGTTTTTTATTGTTGGTTTTCGGAAATTAGCGGTGATTTTGATAATTTGACATTTATTAAGTAAACAATGAATCTACACTAATTGTTTTTGAAATATCCATAGTTGAATGAGTTTCTTTATCCCATACCATCAAATTTAGTACTATTTTTAGAACCATTTAGCCATTTTAAATCTTAAAATTTAAGTGATGCGATAATCATGCCGGTCAGTGCCACTTTAGTGACTAAACTATAAAGAAATTAAATTCTCTCAACGTATTTCGTTCTATAAACCGATTAAATATTTTTGAAGTAATCCTATAATCAGTGGCGCAGCCAAAGATAGTGTAGGGGAAGGTTTACCTATGTAAAAAAAATTGGACACTTATTTAAACGTCATTCAAAAAAGACGATGTGGTATGGGCTTTATTGTCATAACTTTCTTTATGACAGATGTTCTTAATGACAAATCAACATGAATATGCCTGCATTTATAAAAGACATGTCATACGTAATTTTAAAGGTGTCCAGAAAAAATGGAACAACAATGTTATTCGGTTAATAACGACCCTTATTAGATAATAACTCTACTTTGAAATTATCACTGATACGTGTTCAAATAAAAAGTTCATGAAGGTAACTTTAATTTGTTTATAGAAAAAGACGTAGTAAAAAACTAATCCAAATTTTAATGACATTTGACGAGTGACATTTTATCAAAATTTTTGTATCGTTTCGTTCAGTTGTAGTTTAATTCTGTCTTTTTTGTCGAGTAAATCAGCTATAACTAAAAACAAAATATTTTTTAGTTTTGAAAATTCAAGTGTGCCTTATAAATTTTCAGAAAAACTTTTTTTTTTCAAAGTACCTATTGTGTTGCAAATACGAGAAAATGTTAGAAGGAAAGTTGTTTAGAATCAACATCTAGGCCCCTACACCAAATTTCAAAATCATCGGCCAACTAAGATTTTTCATTTTTATCCAAGATAGCTTATTAGTAACAGATACGTTAAAAAATTATTTGAAAAAGTTGATTGAACTCAAAATCTTAGGTCCGTCAAAGCTATTGAAAGTTAACATTTAACACCTCGCCGGGAGTAGAAAAAATGTGGTCCGTTCAAAACACACTCATATCACCGTGAAAAAACACGTCATACGTATAGTTTAAAATACTGACCATTGTCAATATACTTTAGCCGAAATTTATAAAATAATGAAAAGTTTTTATTTATTTTGTATTGCTTTTTTATTAAAACACCCAAGAGTGCAATTGGTTCAATTTTAAAACTTTAATTTTTTCGATTTTTGTCGATGGACAATTTTTGGTACCCGAAACGGTTTACTGCTAATAACCATAATTTTGAAATTATTGACGCTAGTCTTTTTTATTTGGTATCGTTGGAAAACAAATTTAATTTTTTATCATATAATTGATAATATAATAATATAACAGATAATTGTCCTACTTTAATTTAGTTATCAAGGTAAATGCTGATAAACTTAAAAATATTGAAAATATTAATTCAACTATAACTTCTAAACGATCAAGAAGTTTGCAGTTTTCTCGACGCCAATCGATTTCTTCGAACATTTTACATGTCTATGTATGCATTTCACATTATAACGTTTTGCGGCAATTTACAATATAAAAAAAGTAAAAATTTGTGTTTGCTTTTCAAGTTATGACAATATCAAAAATAATAATTGCATACAAAATTCATACGTTTAATTTGGTTATTTCTAGCAGGCTATGATGAGTATGATGAACATAATATCAGCACTTGCTGAATAAAAATTTAAGTTATAAAATGAAATTATTATTATTCGCCATAATTCTTAAAAAAGTAGTTATTTTATGAAAAGAATGTTGATGATATCAAAAACTGTCATAACAAAACAAGTATCGCAGAAGTGTTTTCAGAGAGAAACTCTTCGAGAAGGAACGAGCCAATAATGAGATTATCAACAAGCCTCAGCAGAGATTAATTTTTTTCAGAACATCGTGAAAGGAACTTTAACTATTTCAATTATATTGTTCTCGCGACGACTCGAAAAAATATTAATACCTGAGGAAGTGATGAAGATAAAAAAAAATTCTCTTTCTCGTTACTTTCTCTCTCTTGGATCAATGAACCTATGTTCGACAACAAACTGTTTATTATTTTCTCTTAAATAAATAAACAGAAATCTGAGCCTTTGTTCTTTTAAACATTGAGTGAAAAAGCTATTTACGCCTGAGATGAGTCCTGTTCCAGTTATCACCATCTCGAGAAAACGAATTCAACTCACAATCTCACATAAATTTAAAGAATGACAATAATGAGAACGAAAGAAAACAGCCCTCTGAGGAACCTGTGATATATGTGAGTTTTTTGTTCGATTTGACAATCCAAACCGAATATTTGCCAGAATTACCACCAAATCGTGTTAAACATGACGAGAACTTGTTATACCAAAGGCAACTTGCCACTTACACATAAAACGGCACTTAACAAGGTGACAAACTATCAAAATGAAGTTGGAAGGCGCAAGCGCCTCCCTTTCAACTGTTGATATCCAACCGAAGAGAGTCGCGATATTCTGGCGCACCGATCCCTTCCAGTATTTCCCCGGCGTTTGTCTGAAATCTATCGGAGCTTTGGAAGTTTCTGCGCGCTATCGGCAACTTTCAAACTCGTGAACTGTGCTCTCGAGTGAGAAATTGTGAGTGAAACTGTGACAATGTACGCAACGTGTTTCGCGCTAATTAACATGGTGATGCTCATCTGGAGTGTAGGTAAGATTGCGATGTCTTGAGATTTCGTTTCGGAATTGCCCGCCTCGAAATTAATTCGCTTAATTACAAGGATTTGGGGTGGTGTGCCTACGAATTAATGTGATTTAATTGGCATAATTGGCGTTAATCAGAGTTCCAGGTGATTTAATTCATTTTTAAACTGTGCAGTCGGCGATGTATAAACTGATTTGATTGATTTTAGAATCTCGCAAAAATTAATTTACTGCTGCACAGTCTTTCACATTTATTTTTTTATAAACAGTTTAAAAGCTCTCCCATCTGAAATATTGCTTCTGAGTTTTTTTTTTGTAAACATACTATGTTTATGTGTAAACATGTCATTCTGCTAGCTTCAGTGGTAATTAAACAATAACAGTCTAGTCGCATTTGAACAGACATCGAAAAATGGGCCTGAAGTGTAAGTCGATGCGATTTGATAATGAGGCTTCTAAATTATAGCTGGTATCACTTAGCTAATAGCTAGGAGATAAATCTTGCTGATACAAATTTATTAGAACGCTTGTTTTGTTGAAAGACAAATTTCTTTTTACCCACATACTCAGCATATTTTTGATACATCATCGGAAATAAGTAAAAATATTTTCCTGATAGTTTATTTCAAAAGTTTTGAAGTCACAGAGTTCGCGGTTCACATCTTTGTCATATATTACTGTTATCTCATATATTTCGGTTCCATTATTTTTAAAATTTCTAGATTTTCTCAATCGAAGTATGAAAAATGTATTACGTGACTAAAATGAAAGTGGGGTATAAACTAGAGAATCAAAAAGTGGCTGTAAAAGTAAGGTGTATTGAAAGAGCATGTGGTTGGGTAATTCTATTATTTAATCCTTCTATCCTTTGTCACGGAATGAAATATTTTAGAAAATTTAATTTTGTGGGTTGTGGCTTTACAGCTAATTTCTTCCTGAGGGTGATATTTTAGGTCAGAAGCCTTAAATATTAATTGAAATCTTGGTTCCTGATTTCGTTTATTATTTAAGGCTATTGTGGTTGAAGCAAGATATATTTGACAGACAAGTGGAGCCGAGATAATGCACTTTGTATGTTTTTCAATTCTTGTGTAACTTCAGATTATAGAATTTTTGAATTTTTTCTTGGAAATGCTGAACCATAATTGAAAAAAGACCTATTGTTAATATAAGGTATTGGAGCTTTACGTGTATTATTATTTGCAATATTTTTAGAAAAGTAAATGTTTGAATGATGCAGTTTTTTTCACAATTTAAGTGGTTGTTTACTTGAAAGATAACGAGCACCTAACGACCTGCAAGTTGTTCATTTATTTACTCTTATTGTCCTTACCTGTTATGAACGCAACTTCAAAGCTCTACTTGCAATTTGCAGTTACACAACGCGAAAATAAATTATAATTGTTCAATACCTGCAGACCTGATCGAGTTTTACATACTTTTTAGTGTGAATGTATTTTACTTTTTGATTAGATTAAATGCACTGCTTGATCTAGCAAGTAATCAGTTATTCTATATTTATTATATTTTATTTACAACTTTTCAATAAAAAGACGATCAAAATTGACTTATGAATTTATTTTTGAATCGATGGTTTGCACCTAAGCAATTTGCTCACTCAACAATATTTATAAAAATTTCATAAGCGTTGAGTTAATTTTTCTCCAGAGAATACACATTTTTAACGTTCATGTTGCTTATCCATATTTTAAACTGTTTTGGTTTTAAAAATTTACGTTACGGAAAAATTTCAGAATTTTATAGGAACTGAGACTAATATTTTACATGTCTGGACAAATTTTTTAAAATTTAATTTTTTCAAAATGTTTTCTTATTTATTATTTTCTAGTGGATGAATCGGATTTTTTAAGTATGTTAGAATCATAAACTCTTCACTTCATTCGTGTAAATTGTCGGGTCATTTTCCCGTTTCAGTTTTTCAGCATTGTCTGGAGCAATAAAGCGCAGAGTTTGCCAACCTGACCAATCTATTCACCCCAATGGATGCATCGAGCTTCCGTCCGCCCATGTGTCAGTCCAGCGGATACCGGCCGACACCATTCCAACGTGCGGTTTCTCTGCCAATTTGGCATCAACCACTACTTCCAACACTAAATGCGTGAAATTTCCGACCCGTGCCACTACCCTAAACAGATGTGGCGACTGTTGATGAAAAAGCCCGCATTACAAACCGCACATTAAAAACTTAAGTACCTCCGGCAAAAAGAGCAACTGTTTGTGCAACTTGCTTTGTCTCGGGATTAAAACGGATTTATTTCGACCCGGGTGATGATTTTTTCACTATTTTCTTGCCGATGGTAAATAAAAGTTTATCGGCTGTGAAGAGACCAACATGTTTGTGGATGGAATAAAGTCGGCTTTGTTTGGCGGATTAAGGGCAAATGTGTTGGGAGTTAACGCTGGGACACATCTGCGATTTTTCAATAGTACACCTTGTAGGCCCCCATTTGCTTCATTATGGCAATGAGTTTTTAATTAGGGGATTTATAACTTCAATTAAATTTCATCTGCAAATAAGGCGGCTCTTATTAACCAAATTAATGTTAAAGGGCTGTACTTAATAATGAACGAAAAGGAACAAAGGGTTAAAGAAAGAAAAGAGAATTTACGACTGTATCAGCTGGAAACGACGCGTGATTTTAAATTTGGGAGACCCCTCATACATAAAACGATTTTATTTTTATTTCTAAATATAAATATATTGATTTTTTTGTTTGTTTGACATATTGTGTACAAGTATTAACTATCAACGATCCCTTGCGTCCTGTAGGATTATCAACACATAACAAATCTTCCACTGCTGGAGGGTAACCTATCTTAATCGTGACAATATGGCTTTGGAACGATTGTACAAACTAAAGCTGGCTGTCACAGATCACTAGCCATAAATCCCTTCTCGTTTTTGATTATAAAAGCACAAGATTAGACGGTGGTTACTGATAGTAAAAATCGCGCTATTAAGCGAGTTTTAGACATTTCCGCTATTGATGAGTTAAACTATCCGGAGGGATAATGAGGTCAGATGAAGATCGAAATCATAATCGGTTGGAAACTAGTCGACAAATGGAGCTTTACTTTGCCAAAGGGTGAAGGGGATTCATTTGATTGTAAGCTTTATTATAGTGATGTTCATACTCGTATAGTAGAGTCACTTTAAAGAATTTTTTTTGATTGCTTCATTGCAAAATGCTATTGATAGACACTTATTAAACACATAATGCGCATGTAAATTATGCTTTTTGCAGCAAAACATACTTAATAATAAATTTGCGAATTTATTAGCTCTAAGAAAAAGTATACATACATAATATGACTTGTTATTAAAGATGGATTTTTTCAAAGAATGTTATTTACAGTATGTCCCTGGATTGAGTTTACAAGAGGAAAATAATTTTTATCTTGATTTTAGACTTGTGATAAATCCCATCACATTAGCGTTTTTGTTTTTTTTTAACAACGATGTCACTTTGAAAAATGAGTTTACGCAAGTTAAATAATAAACATATTTTTGAAAAACATAGTTTTAATAAATGGCAATTCAAAGAACAGCTTTAGGTTATAAAACGAAGTAATTTTTAACAAAAACTATCATTATTCAATTAATGAGTTAATTGTCAAATAAATAAAACCTCCAATCTGAAAAATCAGAGAAAATCAAAAATCAAGAGAAGAATGAACTTTTTTTTCACTGAATCATAATAATAAAATTTTAGTTGCAAATTTGCTCATTTCAGGTAAAGCAACAAATGTTTTTCCTTTGCAGTTTTGGCGTAAAATCAAAGATAATAAATTTTTTCCTCTTGTAAACTCAATTCTGGAACATACTATACATAACAATAGATACTAAGCGGTAAGGACATTTTAAAGATCGAAGACAATTGTTTGGAGGAGGAGCGAAGCGACGACTCTAATTATTGTCTGAGATCGGTAAGTTCTTAACCTTTATGATACTTAGGACATTTTTAGCGCAACTGATTTTTGTTAATTTTTTTAATAAAATATCTACCAAAGTTACTTACCGTTAGGTAAAAATATTTTTGGCTTCGACAACTTTAATTCACATGTGTACACATTTTTGAAAGCTACGGTTTGTCACTTTTACAAGACATCAGTCGAGTTTACTGCACGCCGTATGAAAAAAAAAACACAAATATTTTAAGCTTTTAGAGCCCTCAAAAAGAAATTATCCTTTATAGTAAATAAAGTTTATTAAGATACCACACTCGTTTATCTATTTAGTATTTTAAAATAAACACAACATATTTTTTGTAACAAGATTCAGAATTCTGATCAACACGAAAATAGTAAACGCATAGACCCGTCACATTTATTGAGTGTTGACAAATCAAAATATGAATTAATCGAAGAACTGTTCAAAGTCAAAGAGCTTTGTACATTATTTGTGTGTTAGGTATTACAGCCTTCAGTTTTATTAAAGTACTCAGCTTTACTTTGTGCTTCAATATTGAAGCTTCACGCTGTAAAATTATACCTACCGCACTTATATTGTAAATAACTATTAACATTTATAGGTTGCGAAAATGCAAACTTTTAATTTATTAAGCAGGTTGAAAATAAATATTATTTTTTTGTTGTGTTCATTTAATATGTATGTACTTACATATTTTTGCAAAATAGGTAACGGCCATAATGTGTTGGATGCAGTATTTTTCAGTTAATGTAGTTTGAAAGAGATAGACATTGCAAGGTTTAGTACATACGAAGTTCAAACTACTAAATTCTATCGTTTGAAATAATTTTCATTGTTACCTTTATGTACCTACTAGATTTTTTTTACATAAAACTAAGAAATAAATTTAACATTCTGATAATTTAGTGATTTATTGTATTTGTTCAAAATGCTATTTATTTTCTGACAATAAGAAACAAAATTTTGTAAACAAAAAATTAAAATAAGTATTACGAGAAATTTGGGCAATTAATTTCAGTGTACTTACTATACTAGCCATTACCCATCTTGCATGT